TGGTTGACAAGCCTCCCTTAGATGAATCCCACTCACTGGCCAACAGAGTAACACTCAATGCTGTACCTGAGTTCCCTTGATTCTCTTTTGTTGGTGCATCTTGTGAAGTGGCAACTTTGGTAGAAAGACTCAAATCCTACAAGAGAACCACACCTACAATTAAAGCTGGACTCCAGATCGAGCAGTCCGGGTTTGAGACTTGGCAGGGTCATTGTGTTGTGTTCCAGGGAGACACACTTTGCTCTCACAGTGCCTCTCTCCACCCCGGTGTATGAATGTATACTATACTGAGTATAGCAAATTTTATGCTGTGGGTAATCCTGCATTGGACTAGTATCCTCCAAGGGGAAATAAAAATACACCTATTGCTTCATGCTACAATAACTTAGATGAACTCTACCAGTATGGGACTCTTAGCCTGATGGAGACTTTTTAAAATAAGACACAATAGGTAACCAATTAGCAAGTAATGTTCTGTAGCTTCTTAACGAATACTTTCAACATTAATTGGTCAATTTTAATCTTTTGTGATTTTTATAAGTATAAACTGGCCTTTATCAAATCATTTCTCCAGAGATATAATTTAACCTTCAACTTATATAACATTGTATACTAGACCTGAAGGGAATATCAATCCTAGGGGGGAGGGGAGGAGGAGGAAGAATTACTCAAGGAGGTTTAATCTGTCAGCAATTAAATTTTTCTCAGTAGTATTCTTCAACTTGTGAAATTGCTACCTCCTTCCAGGCAGAGCTCCCTCTATATTCCATTACAGGCAGCACCCCTCCCACCCTAAGACGAAGCAGAGATGGCCACTTCTTGAAAAGTACACTAATTTTTCCATTAAGTGTATTATAGATCATATAAATCACATACCTGGCTTGTTCCCTTCAAGAACCATTTCTCCAGTCCTCGGGCAGTGCGTACTTCACCACAGACCTCCCTCGTACAGGTCAGTAGCTGACCCTGTTTTACTTCAAGAAGGTGAAAGCACTCCTCATCATTGCATGACACTCTTCCATGGTTACAACACTCTTGACCAACCCCGTCTGTCCCTTGATGACAGTATGGGCAGGCTACACACAACTCATACTGCAGTCCACTCAGGTATGGCAGCTCCTGTGACAAGGTTTGCAAAGTTCCTTCTACTAACTCACACACTTGTGTAGCTATGTGTACTAGTTCTTCTGACGTCCCTGCTGACACCTCCAGTTTTATCTTCTTGTGTGCATTAACCGGAAGACTTTGTACTCTTTGCCTTAGGACGATCTTGATGAAACTCTTCTTGCAAATGACAATTAAATCATGGATTTGTTTCCCAATAACAAA